TCTTTATACCTGCCGGATGCTTTCTGAATAATATTATCCAGTATTCAATTTAAGTGATACCCATTAAAGTCCAGATCCTAGGGAAATCACCCTGATTCTCTGTTCCCTAGCAACAGCCATAAGAGTAACTACAGCTGCTTAACCATATGCCACTAGAAAGATGTTGTAGTGGAAATGTACAGAAATTTATATTAAATGCCTGAAATCTTAAAACTTCAAACATCAAAGGTGTCATGTTTGAATATTTACCTTTAATTGTGCAAAGGCCAGGACTTTGAACTTGTTTGAACCAGTTCAGTCATGCCCAATGAAGCAAAACCTGGAGAAACTAGAATTTTCAAAATGTGAGTCTGGAACGATAGCTGGAATGGGGAAAGTTGCAAGTCAAAGCTCTAGAATAAGACACTCAGAAGAAGCACAGTAAGACCTTTCCGAAGCCTGATATAGGAGACTGGATTATTGCCAGGACTATGTAGAATGGACACATTCAAAGCAGCACAGTTGGACACCATTTTTGAGGCACGCACTGTTGTTTCTGACTCTGCCAGACAAGAGATCTGGTTGTTATGCAACATGCATGCTGCCCTTGTTTTCCGAGAGGGGAATTAATTTTCTAGCAGGACAGTGACCTGTATTTTATTCTGTTCTGGTTATCATCCCTGGCACCCACATTTTATAAATTCCAGTCCATGCTGGTTGTGTTCATTGACCATGTCTGAACTAGGAAGAACTGGTTCAAAGCCCTGGCAAAGGCAAAAGAGAAGAATAAGTTTCATAATTTAAAGTGACAGTATATATGCTAAATGAGCTTGGCAATCAATGCAGTTCCTAGACATTTTCTTGCTAAGGTAAATGAAAATGGCCATGCTGAAAATAAAATACCTTTATGCTTGACTGGGAGTCTTAACTTTTAAATTTCGATGAACATTGAGTTTTTTTTTACGTTGTAATATGATGTGACATCTTTAAACACTAAGCAAACTCCTTATAAATTTTATTGATAATATTTTAAAGAATTTATTTTTTCTAATTTTGCCGTATATTCAGGAATCAATACCATTATTGTAGTATGTGTCATTTGAGTATCTTTTGTATTTCTTTGTAAAAACATATTTCCCCACATTTAAAAATTATTAATATGTTGGGTTTTTTTTTGCCCCCATCCTTTATAGCTTAAGCTTTTGAATTCCAAGCAATTCTGTATAAAGAGGGAAGAGTTAAAAATTATACTGGGCTATTTTTTCTGTTTTGATCAATAAGAGACCAACTCTAGTGGCCTTTATCCAAATAATGTCTAATAACCCAGTAATATACAAATAGATCATGCCTTTTTTTTGTTTTTGTTTTAATCTTAAAAAGTATGCCTATTTTGTCCACAAAGACAGTGTTCTACATCCTACTTTGGTGAGTAGCGACTGGTATCTTAAACACTCAGGAGTTGCCATCTAAGGTGGAACTATAGGTCTTTCCATGTTGAAGAAAGAAGAGTGACAAAATTGAAAATGCTTGTAATCAATTAGTCCAGTGAACTAATGAAACTTGTGAACATAAGTCTCCATAAGTCTGAGACAAGAAGAACTAGATGGTGCCCAGCTTCCACTACCAACTGCTCTGAAAGGGATCACATTAAGGGATAGAATGGGAGACAATGTGAAACAAAATTGAAAAGTATGAAAAAGATTGAGCTTTATGTGTCAGAAAGATGCTGGAGAAACATAAGACTGTGGCCTTTAGTCACCCTTCAGTTCTGGAATGGAACTCAACAAGTTTCAACCAAGTGGTGGATAGATACATAGTGGGGGGCAACGCTAGTGAATTATGTTCACCTTGGAATGGTCAACCATTCAAGATCAAAAGGGCAACATTTACCTGGGAACAAGGTTCCGAGAGGTTGGGAAGGAGGGTGGAAGGGAAATAGGAACCACAGGGAGGAAGTGGGATAACTGTTTATTACATGGAGGAGATTGCAATCAGTGAGATGAAACAAAGGTGTGATTTGTTGAATATAAAACTGATGGTCTGCTTTGTAAACCTTCATTCAATTCACAATAAAAAGTTTCCAAAAAATGTATCTTAACATTTCTTTTTTGAGCTACTAAAATTTCAGATTACTCCCAATAATTTTCAAAATTTCTGATCACTAATTTGCTTTTGTGAATCCCTATTGTAGACATGATTAAAACCATGTTTGAAGTTTAGGTCATACATATGAAAGTTAATTAAATATATTGTTGTTGTTGTTGTTAGGTGCAATTGAGTCGGCCCCGACTCATAGCTACCCTATGTACAACAGAACGAAACACTGCCTGATCCTTGGCCAATTTTATAATTGTTGCCACACTTAAGCCCATTGATGCTGTCACTTTGCCAGTCCATCTCTCTGGGAGTCTTCCTGTTTTTCTCTGACCCTCTGCCTTACCAAACATGATAATCTTCTCCTGCGACTGGTCCCTCCTGACAATATGTCCAAAGTATGAGAGATGAAGTTTGGCCATCATTGCCTTCAAGGAGCAGTCTGGCTGCACTTCTTGCAACACAGATCTGTTGGTTCTTTTGGCAGCCCATGGCAGTTTCAATATTCTCCTCCAAC